TTTCTCAACATTTAGATTTTTTTGTACCCTCAGATTCCAGATATTCAAATAGTTGTATCTCGGCCAAATATTGTCCTATTGTCCTAACAAACAATACATCAATTGAAAGCTTACTTATTCCACTTTCAGATAACGTATAAATCTCAATTTCAAAAAATTGGCCCTTATGACTGTTTTTTTTTTTGGTCAAGGGTCACATTTATTCAGCTGTAGTGTGATTTAGTCATATTTTGCGATTTGTGCAGTAATAAAATAATTTGAACCAGACTGTCAATTTTAATTAATGTTTTTTATTTTTTTTGTAGACTTTCAAACTGCAGTATCACTGAAGAAGGTTATAAAGCTCTGGCTTCAGCTCTGAGATCAAACCCTTCACACCTGATAGAGCTGGATCTCACAGGAAATGATCCTGGACAATCAGGAGTGGAGCAGCTCAATGATTTACTACAGAGTCAGTACTACTCACTGAAGACATTGAGGTGAGTGTTATTAAAACAAGTCTTTAAAATGTTTTTAAATAAGGATTAAGGATTACATTTGTAAAAGATTTTCCACAAGCTTGTGAAAATAAATCATTATATGGCAGGTAATGTCAATGTACTTCTCCTGTGTCCAGGTTTTTGGGTCCTGCTGCAGATGAAGCCTGTCAGTATGTGACTGGAATTGTGGGTAAAAACCCGTTACTCCTGAGAGAGCTGAATCTGAGTGAATGTGAACTAGGAGACACACGAGTGAATCAGATCACTGCTCTACTGCAGGATAAACACTGTAAACTCAACACACTGACGTGAGTATTGTTCATTTATTATTGTAGATATACAGTATGTTATAGAAATCAGGTGACCAAAACACAGTAATTCTCAGTAATCACTAAATGTTAGCATGCATGCACTTTGTGTTTGTAAATTCTCTCTCTCATGTTTAATATTTTAGTCTGCGTAAGTGTGTTCTAACAGAGGAAAGCTGTTCAGCTCTCGCTACAGTCCTGAGATCAAACTCCAGTCTGAAAGAGCTTGACATGAGCAACAATAATCTGCAGGATTCAGGAGTGAAGAAACTCCAGAACGGACGGATTAGAACAAACTGCACACTGCAGAAACTCAGGTGAGTTCAATGAATGAATATTTAATTTTAATAATAATATAGTTTTTGTATTAAGGTGATTATACCCAGGGCAACTTTTTGAGAAATGTTGCAGAGCAATGTTGTTTGGCACTTTCCCATTGAGAATGGGCAACAAACTTCTGTCTGGATAATTAGATCAGTCGTGGGCCCTGTGTGTGGTTGCCCGTTGATAGCATCATTGCCCAGCAATATTTCTCAAAAAGTTGCCTTGTGTGTTTGTTTGTTTTCTCAAATGTTTTATGAAATAATGTTAAGTATGTGTTTTAAGGTTTTATCTTACAGTTTTTAATAAGAATTATTTTTACTCTCAAAGTTTCAACTTGATTTTCTTAAAAATAGTGTACATACATGTTACTCACATATCACTGTAGCACAGTTTGTGCTGAATGTAGTGTGATGAGACTTTTACTGTTAACCCTTTCACACAAGTTTAAAATATTCTAGCTGACCCTCCAGCATAACCTTATTATATCCATGGCGACGCATCGTTTGTCACGTGACACACTATAGCCACAGTAGTGCTGTATGACAGATTTTCAGATCATTGCTATTTAGTTTTTCCTTTTTTATTCAAAATATTCACAAACTTGTTAACTATGCCAATTATCTGATATTCCAATTCTCAAGTATGTGTTTTATCGTTTACAAACCTTTATAATGATCTTGTTAGTTGATTTATAATGCATGATGGGCGCTGCCATATTAGTTTGTGTTGCAATTCAGAGAATCGTATCTGTCAGATTTACAACACGTAAATTCATCTATTTCTCCCAAAATATATGAAAGAAAGTGGCTGGTGAAATGGGAGAAAAATAGAGGGAACTTTATAGTTACCACAATGTGTATCTGATATGAATAAACAACGTCATCAAATTATAATTGAAAGGATTGTTATTGCCGCTTCCATAGACATCAGTGTGTATTTTACAAACTTACATAAATGTATTGTTTTGCTAGCACTTATGTGTATTTAAATGTCTGAAGCCTAAAATAAATATTGTGTGACTGAAAACACTGCATAGTTGAGATATATGACAAGTGCTGAGTGTGTCTGTTTCTGGCTCAGTGTCAGCCAAAGCACGCAAGCACATTTTAATCTGGCAGTTATGTAACGTCACTGTGCATTTTAAATCCATATGTGGACCGTAATCCCAAGGGCACACAAAAGGTT